TTTTTTTTATATTTAAAATGGTATAATTTTTTGTATTTGAATGTTATTATTTTTTAGTTTTAATGTTAATATATATATATATATATATATATATGAGAGATAAATTTTTTTAATGTTAATCAAACTCCTAAAATTTAAGAATTTTTAATTTTTAATTTTAATTCACTTATAAATGGGAGGGATAATATGATAAAATTAATAAAAAATAAATTTAATAACAAATAAATTTTATTGACAGACTTAAATCCAAATAAGTATATAAAGAGAACTGCCTTCCAAATTTTCCCAAAAAACAACGAATTATATTGCCACGAAGAATTCATAAATCTTCCTTCTTTGGATGCCTTTCTGAGTGGACGCGGCCCACAAAAGGATGCCCCGACCAATGACCAAAATGGGCCAAAACCGCCCAACATAGGTCTAACGGATCTATTGGACGACGCCTATTTAATGACTAGTCCAGCACATTAACCCTTCAATACTGCAAGCTAAGAAAGAAGGTTTGTAAGGCTCAGCTCTCTCAGCAGACACAGAGACCCACAGGTGAGGGGAAGAGAGTAAAGAAGAAGAAGAAGCAGCAGCAGAAGCAGTAGTAGTTATGGCTGGGAGGAGTAGCGAGTGGCGTCTGCAAAGAGGGCAGTACCTGGGAGAAATCTCAGCCCTCTGTTTTCTCCACCCACCGCCTTCTGTCTCTTGTCTTCCTTATCTCCTCGCCGGTTTGTTCTTTTTTTCATCTCTCTTTCGTAGACTCACATTCTATCATTATGCACAATCGCACGCAAACAAATACATCATATTCTTTGATAGAATTTTAGGAACTTGAAACAGAGGCCACCGCCACTCTTCGTACAGAAAGAAAGATATGGTGGAATGCATAAACTACTCTGAGAGGACACACCAGCAGTTGAACCATGGCTTCTAATAGTGCAAAAGACCCTTCTAGGTCTGGTCATTGATAGAAAGATAACTCAAATAATTGCACATATGCTTCTCAGTGTGATTTAATAAAGGTCACCTTCCACAAACAACTAAAGCTCAAAGATCAGGAGATTTTTAATTTGCCATTGTGAGTTCTGCAGATTATGCAACTCGTGACTGTCTTCTTGCGATCTTTTTTGCAACAGGAACGGGTTCACAACTTCTGCTTTATGATTTAGTGACAGGAGTGATGATAAGATCGTTTCAAGTTTTTGAAGGAATACGTGTTCATGGAATTTCTTTAGAGAAATTTCATCAACAATCGTCCTCTTCTGCACTTGCCGTCAAGATTGCTGTCTTTGGTGAAAGAAAAGTGAAAATGTTCTGTTTACGTGTTGAAATAGTGAACAATTCGCAAAATAAGCCTCAAGTATCCATGGTGGATTTGATTCTTTTGCTGTCACTGCCAAAGTTAAATCATTGGGTGTTGGACGTTCGCTTCTTAAAGGTAAAAATGGTCATGTTTTCAGGTTAATTATGCTCTTACTTTAGACCACTTCTCTCTAATAACTTGGAATATCCAATTCTATTATGCTAACTCTACTAATCATTCAAAATTTCTTTTTATGTGATCTTTAAAATTTAATTTCTTATTGTGCTTATTCTACTAATTTACATTTGAATTGGTTGTAGGACTCGGTGTCTTCTTCGCATGAGGAGAGCCAGTATCTTGCCATTGGGTGTAGTGATAACTCTGTATGTTTCTGGAATATTTTAAGATCAGATTTCATTTTTGAAGTCAGATGTTCAGGTTGGTTCATATAATAAAAAGGGTTATATTTTCGGGACTATCTAATTATGTTTGCAATGTTTGTCTTTTTTTTTTTTTAATTAATTTGCTTAGGTTTGCAAGTGTCTATCTTTATGTGTCCCTTTGATTTTACGTACCACAACTTCCCACTCTTTATGCTGTCCACTAAAAAAATTCAAAATTATAGTTGCGGTGTAGTATATCTTAAGATCAAGATTTATGTTTGGGTGTTGAGTATTTCACATTCTCGCCTCAATTTGCTTGAAACTTGGGATAAGACTTTGGTATGCCGAATGTGTCGATATTAAGTCACATTGAATATTTTTTGTGCGACATGACTTCTTGTTGTGTGTTTTCACCTTTTGTTTTTCGCTTTTTATTCATTTGTAGAGAAGTGTCTGTTGTATTCCATGCGGATGTGGGGTGATGAAGTTGAAGCTCTCCGTGTTGCATCTGGAACTATTTATAACGAGGTAGTGAAAATCCCCCTTTATTGGTTTTTCCAGAAATTATCACTTGTTCACTGCTTTGATAGTTGTTCATTACAAATTCAGGTCTCCATGACTGAGTGCTTATCTAAACAAAAAAGAATTTCCAAGTGATTTTACTGTTTGGGCCTTTTACCTTGCCTTACCCTGACCTTTATGTGGCCTTATCTGTCCTTGCGTATCTGGCCTTGGTACTAGGTTTGGATGGTGTTTCTCTGTTCTGTTGTTGAAACCCAACTGACGCTATTTATGAGAAAACTTGTCATTCTGCTGTAAAGACATGATGCCCGCATCATGGTGGTTCTTCTTGAGACGTTGCATTTTATGATCAGCGCTGGGATGTTTCCAAAAGCGATGATTTACTGCTGTGGATGACTTCAAACATTTTAATCTAGTTTATTCGGATCATTCTCATTGTAGTTTACCTGACTGTCCGTTCTGTGGGAAGTAATGATATATTAGGTGTTTTCTGGTTTATTTTAATTCTGAGAATTCTAGATGGAAACTTTTCAATGTATGTAATAGAATATCTCTCCTTGAACGTGCCATGGATTTCATCTTGTATGCTGTCAATGGAATTGGTGTGCATTTTAATTAAAATTGTCGAGAACTTTTCTCGTTATTACATCCTTGGCATTAGTTGGTCAAAGATCCTTATGACATTGGTCATATGTTTCACATTTGGACATTTTCTTCAAATTCAAATTTTGAATAACATAATCCTGGAGAATATGTTGTGTTTTGGTAGGTTATTGTTTGGAAAGTCGTTCGTCAAAATCATGCTCCATTTGTGGAAAGTGCTGTAAAACACCTTATGAATCCGACCAGTGAGGAAGGTGAAGACCTTCCTGGTCAGCAATATGAAGCTCTTCATATATGTAAAATGCTTGGGCATGAAGGTTCGATTTTTCGCATTGCATGGTCTTCCAATGGATCAAAACTGGCGTCTGTATCCGATGATCGTAGGTGGATATGTATATATTGAACTTACATCGCCTGCTCGTTTCATGAATACTGCACTATCCTCTAACATTGCAATTTTATATGATTATTTGGTTTCTTTGTTCATGCAGTGCTCGCATCTGGGCAGTTCATGCTGAAAGGAGTGGCGCAAAAAATTCTGTGGGGGATGATGTCTCTTACTCTATGGGTCCCGTGCTATTTGGTCACAGTGCCAGGGTTTGGGACTGCTGTATATTTGACTCTGTGAGCTCCATAAGAACACTTGCATTTACAGTTTCTTTTATTTATCTTTAGGCAAATGAGAATTACCATGTGAAAAATACTGTCAGTTCACTATTTAATGTGTTTTTTCTGCTGTTCTTTAAAAGAAACTATATCCATAAAGGGACGCACAAGATGCTTCTGTCATTGCGGGCTCTAGGGAAGGTCATGTGAGCATACATTTGAACACTTAATTGTATGTAACTCATGTGTGCCTCATTTTGTTACTTCTTCCATGTAAATTGTGAGAAACTGCCTAATCATATGTTATTATTGCCTTGTCCCATGAGAGTTTGCTAAGGTCATGAGATTTCTACCAACCAGATAAGTTTTGGGGGATTTTTCTGGTTTGATGGCATAGTTTGTGTGAGTCCCTTTGTGGTTGGGTGTTGACCTCTTTTCCTCTTGAATACTACCTCATTGTTAGAGGTTGATCCTATATATTGATGCTACATCCTGTTAATTGCAATTATGTCCAAATGCTATGTAAGTTCTGTTAATTGGCAAGTTTGTGGTTTTTTGAAATCATTGGTATTCTTAATATTGCTTGATATTTGAAATATGAATATATTGTTAGTTTTAGAACTAACTTTTTCTCCGTGGGGCTTCGCTTAGTTGATTATCACTGCTGGCGAGGATTGTACGTGTCGTTTGTGGCAACTGGATGGTACCCAACTGAGAATGATCAAAGACCATATGTAAGTTGCAAATTGAAAATGTGTATTTTAGTTTTCAAGATTCAAATTTTCAATCTGGTCTAAAAATTCCTGCATTCAGTACGTAAAAATACGCGGAGTTCAAATATTGAAGTAGCAACGGGCAATTATTTATGTTTAGAGTTGTAGTCTTTCACCAACTTACTGGTGTTATGAAATGAGATTTGCACCTGAATTGCCAATGTTCAGACAAGTTGAAGTAAAAGTTCTAGTGGAGTTCTGGAAAATCTTGACTGCAATTGGTGCATAACAGAGAACGAGAGAGAAAAACAACAAATAAAGTCACAGGGAATAATTAAATAGTAGATTAGATGACTNAAAAGAAACTATATCCATAAAGGGACGCACAAGATGCTTCTGTCATTGCGGGCTCTAGGGAAGGTCATGTGAGCATACATTTGAACACTTAATTGTATGTAACTCATGTGTGCCTCATTTTGTTACTTCTTCCATGTAAATTGTGAGAAACTGCCTAATCATATGTTATTATTGCCTTGTCCCATGAGAGTTTGCTAAGGTCATGAGATTTCTACCAACCAGATAAGTTTTGGCCGATTTTTCTGGTTTGATGGCATAGTTTGTGTGAGTCCCTTTGTGGTTGGGTGTTGACCTCTTTTCCTCTTGAATACTACCTCATTGTTAGAGGTTGATCCTATATATTGATGCTACATCCTGTTAATTGCAATTATGTCCAAATGCTATGTAAGTTCTGTTAATTGGCAAGTTTGTGGTTTTTTGAAATCATTGGTATTCTTAATATTGCTTGATATTTGAAATATGAATATATTGTTAGTTTTAGAACTAACTTTTTCTCCGTGGGGCTTCGCTTAGTTGATTATCACTGCTGGCGAGGATTGTACGTGTCGTTTGTGGCAACTGGATGGTACCCAACTGAGAATGATCAAAGACCATATGTAAGTTGCAAATTGAAAATGTGTATTTTAGTTTTCAAGATTCAAATTTTCAATCTGGTCTAAAAATTCCTGCATTCAGTACGTAAAAATACGCGGAGTTCAAATATTGAAGTAGCAACGGGCAATTATTTATGTTTAGAGTTGTAGTCTTTCACCAACTTACTGGTGTTATGAAATGAGATTTGCACCTGAATTGCCAATGTTCAGACAAGTTGAAGTAAAAGTTCTAGTGGAGTTCTGGAAAATCTTGACTGCAATTGGTGCATAACAGAGAACGAGAGAGAAAAACAACAAATAAAGTCACAGGGAATAATTAAATAGTAGATTAGATGACTCAATAAGTAAGCAGCATTAGTGAAGTGTTAAAATGAAAAACCAAATAGCTGTTTCTCCTCTCAGAAAATCTAAGAAGTAGAACATCAAAACATAGAGGATCAATTGCATGGACACCTCCTATAGTTTCTGAAAATTGGGAGGATTCTAGTGTTTTTCGAAATTACACTGTGATTCCTTTTGATTTGTATTTGTATTTCACCACATACACCTTCATTAGTCAATAATAAGTTAAAATATCCATTTTGCTCTGTGGAAAACAAAAATAAACATAAGAATCAGTTTTTCTGATATCAAAAATAAAAATCAAAAAAATCTTAAAAGTTGGCTTACATTCCCCAACCCCACCCAGTTTCCCCTTTCTTTTCCTTGTACCAACCTTTCCAAACAACGTACTCCTCACACCAAAGCCCTTTGAAGGTTTGAGACCTACACTCCAAATCCTCTTCTCCAGATGGCCAACGCCACCCCTCAGGTCATGCCACGATCTCAATCCCTACATTCTCCATTCATGGTTTTTATTACTTACCGTTGATTATAAGCGTCACCCTACTTAGATTTGAGGTTGTAGGTAATTGTTTATGTTTGTGGTGTACTATGTAATGGTTGGATTTAGTGAATGTGTTTTGATTCCAAAAGAATTTCACAATTCTGATTTTGAATTCACTCCCATGGATATCATGGTTAGACTGATATTAAAACCTTTGGAAGTCTATTGGTCTTGTATGAAGTTTCTTTCCACCATTCTGGTTTCTCCATTACATCTTGACATAGTGGGTGGAATAAATTGGTCTACACATCTTAACTTCTTCATTGAAAGGTTTCAAGCTTAACCAGTGCATATTTAACTGATACCCCTAAAATTCTCCAATCTCTAAAACGTTACTGTTACCTCTTTATTCTACAGTGGGCGGGGAATATGGCGATGTTTGTACGATCCAAACTCTTCTCTTCTGGTCACGGCTGNCACCTGAATTGCCAATGTTCAGACAAGTTGAAGTAAAAGTTCTAGTGGAGTTCTGGAAAATCTTGACTGCAATTGGTGCATAACAGAGAACGAGAGAGAAAAACAACAAATAAAGTCACAGGGAATAATTAAATAGTAGATTAGATGACTCAATAAGTAAGCAGCATTAGTGAAGTGTTAAAATGAAAAACCAAATAGCTGTTTTCTCCTCTCAGAAAATCTAAGAAGTAGAACATCAAAACATAGAGGACCNCTCAATAAGTAAGCAGCATTAGTGAAGTGTTAAAATGAAAAACCAAATAGCTGTTTCTCCTCTCAGAAAATCTAAGAAGTAGAACATCAAAACATAGAGGATCAATTGCATGGACACCTCCTATAGTTTCTGAAAATTGGGAGGATTCTAGTGTTTTTCGAAATTACACTGTGATTCCTTTTGATTTGTATTTGTATTTCACCACATACACCTTCATTAGTCAATAATAAGTTAAAATATCCATTTTGCTCTGTGGAAAACAAAAATAAACATAAGAATCAGTTTTTCTGATATCAAAAATAAAAATCAAAAAAATCTTAAAAGTTGGCTTACATTCCCCAACCCCACCCAGTTTCCCCTTTCTTTTCCTTCTACCAACCTTTCCAAACAACGTACTCCTCACACCAAAGCCCTTTGAAGGTTTGAGACCTACACTCCAAATCCTCTTCTCCAGATGGCCAACGCCACCCCTCAGGTCATGCCACGATCTCAATCCCTACATTCTCTATTCATGGTTTTTATTACTTACCGTTGATTATAAGCGTCACCCTACTTAGATTTGAGGTTGTAGGTAATTGTTTATGTTTGTGGTGTACTATGTAATGGTTGGATTTAGTGAATGTGTTTTGATTCCAAAAGAATTTCACAATTCTGATTTTGAATTCACTCCCATGGATATCATGGTTAGACTGATATTAAAACCTTTGGAAGTCTATTGGTCTTGTATGAAGTTTCTTTCCACCATTCTGGTTTCTCCATTACATCTTGACATAGTGGGTGGAATAAATTGGTCTACACATCTTAACTTCTTCATTGAAAGGTTTCAAGCTTAACCAGTGCATATTTAACTGATACCCCTAAAATTCTCCAATCTCTAAAACGTTACTGTTACCTCTTTATTCTACAGTGGGAGGGGAATATGGCGATGTTTGTACGATCCAAACTCTTCTCTTCTGGTCACGGCCGNTTCAAAATTGGTTCTATTTTATTATTATAGATAAATATATGAAATAATAATTTATTTTTTCTATAATCACACAATTTAAAAACAATCTTGTCCCACTATTTTAAAAGTATGGTTGGGTGGGATTTTTAATTTTTAGAGAATTTGGCTTTAATTAACGTAAAGAAGTATGATTTTTCAAAAAAAATTTGTGATGATTTTCAATCATTAGATTGAATGCATTTCAGCCGCTCGTATGCCAAGCTAATCTAAAATAATGGATTCAAAATGAGTCGTGTTTTATTATATAGATTATTTTCATACAAACTTATCAAATCATATTAAGATTTTTTGCATTTATGTTTTTACCAAAATTAGTGAAAATATAGTTTCTATGAGCAATATAATTTATAAGAGTTTAAGTATTTTTTTTTGTAATTAAGAAGTTTCTATTCTTTATTACTTGATCTTTACCGAAAAAATACTAAAAAAACAAATATTTATTGTCTTATAATATCTAGAGTTTTTCAATATTTTAAAGTTATTTTTCAGCTATTTTATTCGTTTTGTAATTGGCTAAAGTTATGTTAAAAACAAGTGAAAATTGGGACTGTGTCATTCTGGATAGNCTTTTTAATCCATTTGGGTATAAACAAATTGGAACTTCTAATGGGCAGCTAGCTGAGATATCTTGAATAGTGGCCGTAACAAACAGTAGTCCATTCTGGTGCAGAGGTAGGATTCTTCTTGAGCGGGGCACAGCTGAGAATTTGGTAATAATGTCGATCATAAACCTAAAAAATGCATAGAGATCAACCTTACCACGAGACATTTCCTTACATCTATATGTCACAAAAAATTAAAAAGACAATTATAGCGAATAAACAGTATTCAAAACCGAGGCCATTACTTGTAACATGAGTATATATAACCTACTTTTTACTACTAGACTATTTAACATTGACCCCCAGCCTGTGCTTGTCAATGGATTTAGAGGGGTTAATTANAACTTTCAAGATTTTTAAAAATCTTGAAAGTAACTTTAAATTAATTTCTTAAATTATAAATTATTATCTCTTAACTAACTCTTAAATTGAAATTAAAATTTATATTCTTTATCTCTCTCTCTAGCTATCTCTCATTAAAAGAAAATCATCANTATAGCGAATAAACAGTATTCAAAACCGAGGCCATTACTTGTAACATGAGTATATATAACCTACTTTTTACTACTAGACTATTTAACATTGACCCCCAGCCTGTGCTTGTCAATGGATTTAGAGGGGTTAATTATGGAGCTTCCAATTTATTAATATGGCAGAGATCCTTTTTTATACTTCAATTCCAGTGTGCTCATTTTCTCATTCTATAATATTAATAAGTCCTTACTTAACTGGCATTTTTNTATGGAGCTTCCAATTTATTAATATGGCAGAGATCCTTTTTTATACTTCAATTCCATTGTGCTCATTTTCTCATTCTATAATATTAATAAGTCCTTACTTAACTGGCATTTTTGGCTCTTTTGCTCTCTGCAGCAAAAGTGAATATGTGCGTTGTTTACACTTCACCCGTGAAGATACCCTTTATGTTGCCACAAACAATGGTCATCTGTACCATGCTAAGTTATCTACTGCTGGAGATGTAAAATGGACCAAACTTGTTCGGGTTAGTGGGGAGGTGCCCATTGTTTGTATGAACTTGATTTCCACAAACTCTTCTGACGATTGCCATGGTATTGATGATTGGGTTGCGGTTGGAGATGGTAAAGGAAGCATGACAATTGTTAGAGTTGTTGGCAATGTCTGGACACCTAAAGTGGGTCTTGTTTTTACTTGGTCTGCGGAAATAGGGAGACAGCTCTTGGGAACTTATTGGTGCAGATCCTTGGGATTTAGGTAATTAACTTACCCTATGGTAATAATGATTAAATTGCCTATTGCCAATTCAAGCCCGAGACACAGTCATGTTTATTGAGTAAACTTATCGATGACTGAAATATGTGGTAATTTTATGATATAGTTTCATCTTCAGTGCTGATCCTAAAGGAAAGTTGAAGTTATGGAGGTTATGCGATCCTTTGCAAACTGCTTCTGACAATAACACGGGAAGTCACAATGCAACTTTGGTAGCGGAATTTGTCTCATGTTTTGGGGTTCGAATAGTGTGTTTGGATGCATCATTAAAGGAAGAGGTTAGTGCTCCCCCCCCAAAAAAAACAAAAAAAACCCAACCCAATCGGCAGGTCTCTTTAAATTGATTTTTCATCTGCTGATTTCACCTGAGCAATGGATTGCTTTCTACTGTTTAGATTGGCTTCTTCACTCCAGCATGTATTGCAAAGTTGCAGTTCCATCATGTTTGTTGTTCTTAACAGATCATGTTATAGTGCCTTTGGTAAATATCCAGCAGATCACGTTATAGACTTATAGTACCCTGAACATATCTGACTACCCTAGATTGGAATAGCGTTGCTGCATAAATATTTTGATCTGTTTATCTATGATTCCTTGTTCTCGATGTTTATTCTCATTGGCTACTAAGTTGATGTTTCCCTAGAAAAACTGTAAATAACACAATATACTCGAATTTTATACGAAAAACAGGCATACAATTGTAAAAAAAGTGGATATATTTTGATATACGAATACGTACTGGATAGTTGGAACCCAGTTTTTCATTTAATGTCTGAGAAGAGCATACTTTTAGGGGTGATTGCTACTACTTTAATGCATTTTAAGTACAAGGAGAAAGAAGAAGAACCGTCTTCAACACCCCTCAAGAAATAAAGGTCAAATTTTTTCTCATTTGTGTATTAGATGCGGACATGAGGTGGTAAATTAGATGCATGATGCACTAAAATTCTAGAAAAACTACCATATGGAATCTTGATGTAGTTTTATGAATCTTTGAATTCCAGTGGATCAATCTTATCCAAATCCGATGGAAATCAAAACTAAATCTCCCAAGTGTTTTAATGGATTCTAGTTTATATTACTTGTTTGTTTATTCTCTTCAGGTGCTAGTGTGCGGGGATCTACGTGGTAATCTGATATTATTTCCTTTATTAAAAGGTCTACTGCTTGGTTCATATATTGCTTCAGAAGCAAAAATATCTCCATCAAACCATTTCAAAGGAGCTCATGGGATTTCAAGTGTGTGCAGTGTTGCAATAGCTGGTTCTAGTTTCAGTCAAGTTGAAATACATTCGGTATGGCCTCGTTCTTCAAAGTAATAAATCCTGTTTTCATGTATTTTGTGATTACAAAGTTCTTGTAGAAGTTCTAAAAAATTTAATTTCTCCATTTTGACGATTGCAATAAAAAGTTGTTGGAAAATTGTTAGGAACTAATAATACTTTTGAGGGGAAAAAAATAGACCTGCTTTTGGTAGAGTGGATGAAAAGAATTTCGCATGTGCGGGTGAAGCATGTGACCACCTGTGCGGATTTCTATGGGTTAGATCTTTTGTTATTTCATTTTTCTTCAGACAGGAGGAGATGGGTGCATATGCTGTTTGGAATATGATAGAGATCAACAAACTTTGGAATTTATAGGGATGAAACAAGTTAAAGAATTAAGTTTGGTTCAATCTATCTTCTCTGGTGCCAACTCTTATGATCATTTAGCCAGTGGTAACTATGCAGTAGGTTTTGCAGCATCAGATTTTAAAGTGTGGAACTTAATCACTGAGACCAAGGTACTCTCTCTCTCTCTCTCTCCCCCAAAAAAAAATCTAAAAAAAAAGTTATAGATCTATTGATGTTCGGAGGCATAGTGGTACAGGCCCTGCACATTTCATGTGGTGGATGGCGTCGTCCTCATTCTTACTATCTTGGTGATGTACCTGAGATCAAGAACTGCTTTGCATTTGTCAAGGTATGTTTTCTTTCACATTCTCTCTTCCTTTTTCAATAAGAGAAAAGTAAATCTTGATTACATAGGCATGTATATCCCGCATTTTACTGGCTCACAGAAAAGTATCTCATATGGCAGAAACAAATTGCTCTACTTATCCAAAATTTCACTTCTCATCCCTGAATTTTTTGTGAACAATAAATGGTTAGGATCATAAAGCCATGTTCAATATAAGCCAGAGAGAAGCCACGTATGTCAGACAATGTTCCTGATATCCCCTTCTTTGCCTGGTTTCACATTTTACCATTTTCTATGCATTATATGACAAAAAGCTGTGTGGACTTCAACAAAGTCATTTTTAGGAAGTAAGACTTAAATTGCAATTAGCTTGCATAGAAGGGGGTATGACCACATGTCCCCTTTGGCCTAGGAAGCATGGATACTTCATTTTGGGCTAATTGTTGGTGTTGGACACGTTAAAATGAGTGTATGATTTTATTTTATTTTTTATAATTTTTTTCATGACACGTTGGGGACACGCTCAAGACACTTTAGGGATACGTTTTGAGATTTATTTTTAATTTTTTGAGAATTTTTCAGATAATTTTATAATTAGGAGTTATTTTTGTAATTTTAAAAGGATATGAGTCACAATCTTAATATAAAAGAAATTATAATCATTACATTGAACATAGGACATGAATGTAACATAATTTTGGATATGAATACAAACTTATATACAAATGAAATAAACTTTTAATATGAAAGTAATGTGAGAAAAAATGGGGTTATAAAATTGGGGCTCTTGAAAATTGATGAAAATTAGTGTTACGAAATACAATATTTTTAAAAATAAAAATTGTAGTAGTCACTGATTATTGGATCATGGATGTTAATGTTGAATGTGTATCATTATATCTTATATTGTACTTTTTATGCAGTGAGATTATGATGAGAATTTTTAGAATTAAGGGAAATGATGAATTAAAAGATCATCATGATAATATTTATTTTATCACATGATTTTATATATATATTTATATATATATATATATAAATGTATTTAAATATATATTATTTAACGTATTGCCAACATGTCTGTGTCTTACTTTTTTGAAAAATTTGTGACAACGGCGAGTTTGTGTTGTGTCGTATCCGTGTTCGTGCTTCTTTGTCCTTGGCTAGGTGTACTTCAATTTCCAAATTTTAAAGAAATATCCGCGTCACAAGTTGAGGTTAAATTTGAAACATAAAAAAAGGAGTTCCCCCGGGGGGGAGTTCCTGCTGGGGACATGGGTTGGGGTCTGGGAGCTGTGTGGTTGAACTTTGGGAGCAGTATCCAATGGGCAAAAATTAGTTAGCATCTAGAAATACTCATTGCAAATTTACTTTGTTGCTTGTCAACCCTGAAATATTTTCTCAAAGGGGTAAATAGCATGTCTATTTTTCAAGCCTCAATACTGTTGTTGCCTTCATTCCAATCGCAATGCTACACTTGATGCACACCGAGCTTTCAACAGCCTACTTATATATATATATATATATATATATATATATATATGCTCTTAAAAGGCCATAGCTTCTCTCAATTTATTGTGGCCTCCTTGATTTTTCAAAAGTTTGTATAATGGCCCATATCTTTTGCTTTCCAGGAAGTTAGTGGTCCACTATTGGTCCCCCTAACCTATGAAACATATATCTTATATTTGGATTCTGTGGAATAAATGAGAAATGGTCCAACCTTTGTATATATTTCCTAAAGATTATACTTGTCTTTGTTTAATACACTGCCCCAATGTGTAAAATAATCGTATAGGTGCCCGACATTTTTTGATAAGTTAATGGTCTTAACTTTGTAAAACATGAAGAGATTCGAAGTGTATTTTTATTTTATTTTTTTGCTTTTTTTAAAGTGTAACTATACTTTGCAACCACATTAATGGTGCTTTGTCATGGACTCTCTAATTTTATACATTGGAAGGAAATCAACGAGAAATTTAGCATAGAATCAAGTATGGAAGAATTTTTGAGATTTGAAAAAATATTATGTTTCAGTTTGATATATACATCATATATTTTAATTTAATCATATGAATCTTAACTTATTTTCTCATTGTTAAACTTAAAAAAAAAAAAAAAAATTATATCAGGTCAGTGTTTATTTTCTTTTACTCCCCCCCCCCCCCCAAAAAAAAAAAGGGGGGGGGGCCACAAGCACCCCTGGTGATGCATATTGGCTGAGCTGTTGTGGGCTACTTGGCCAAATCCTTGCTTTTCATGTTGTCATAGATTATTCAGGATATCCAATTTCATTCTTTTGTATTTGATTTGTTGATTTGAACTTTTGACTCTCTCTCTCTTGCTCACTCACAGGATGACATCATTTACGTTCATAGACATTGGGTACCAGAAATTGAGAGGACAATATATCCTCAGAATCTGCATTTGCAATTCCATGGAAGAGAAATGCATTCCTTATGTTTTATATCTGAATGTTCACGATTTAGTTCAAACGAAAAGCAGTGTCCCTTTTCTAGATCTGGTTGGATTGCAACTGGGTGTGAAGANCAAAAAAAAAAGGGGGGGGGCCACAAGCACCCCTGGTGATGCATATTGGCTGAGCTGTTGTGGGCTACTTGGCCAAATCCTTGCTTTTCATGTTGTCATAGATTATTCAGGATATCCAATTTCATTCTTTTGTATTTGATTTGTTGATTTGAACTTTTGACTCTCTCTCTCTTGCTCACTCACAGGATGACATCATTTACGTTCATAGACATTGGGTACCAGAAATTGAGAGGACAATATATCCTCAGAATCTGCATTTGCAATTCCATGGAAGAGAAATGCATTCCTTATGTTTTATATCTGAATGTTCACGATTTAGTTCAAACGAAAAGCAGTGTCCCTTTTCTAGATCTGGTTGGATTGCAACTGGGTGTGAAGATGGAACTGTGAGGTTGACTAGGTATAACTATATACGTATTTTTTTATGTACCATGTATGTATTAGTTGTGGTGTTATGGCACATTGATTTAGCCTAAAAATTTTAGCTGTCAAGACTAAAAGCTGTGATAGGTGTTATGGCTTAAATATGCTGGACGTGTATCCTCCCATCGTCCCCTACCTTTCTCTTTGTTCTACAGACAAAACTCATAATGCTAATCACAATAGCTGGCAATTGATATGATCTATTTTGGCATGTTAATGGTATGATAAATGACTCAGGTATGGTCCAGGTGTTGAAAAGTGGTCTGCTTCAAAACTTCTTGGGGAACATGTTGGCGGATCAGCTGTGAGATCAATATGCACTGTGTCAAAGATACATGTGATTGCGCCAGATTTGGAAAGCATGCCTAATGGGACATATAGACGAAGTATGACCTCAGAAGACCAAGAGAATCCTTTCTTGCTTATTTCAGTTGGTGCAAAGAGGGTCATAACTGCTTGGAAACGAAAATTTGATATGACAAGTAAGAAGAAGGAAGACCTGTTTGCCGGGCCAGATACTGGGACTGAAAAAGGCGTTCATTTTTCAGAAGAGTTCTCATTGATGTCTTTCCAGTGGATTTCCACCAATATGCCTACCAGAAACTGTAGCATTCGAGGAAAAGGACAGAACATTGAAAAAGAAGTTGAAACAGCTGAAAATATATGCAGTAAAAATGCTGATGCAACTTCTGAATCCCATTTTTCAGAAGACAGGGAGATGGATTCAAAACCTTGCCTTGTAGATAAATATGAAGATGACTGGAGACACCTGGCCGTTACTGCTTTTCTTGTTAAAGTGTTTGGTTCACGGTAGGGAAGATAAAATTGTAATTATGTTATTTAATTTTCACTGCGAACCATCCAGTTTAATTAAGTTACAATTGTCGTCTGTATTGTTTTCCTACCAGGATTTCTGTTTGCTTTGTCGTTGTTGCTTGTTCCGATGCCACGGTAGCATTACGGGCTCTCATATTACCTTATCGACTCTGGTATGTGTCAAGCTCCTTATAAGTTAGTTTAATAAATAGCTTTCTTCATACGTTGCCACACGTTTATTTTTTAATCCTCCTCCTCCTTTTCCTAGACAAGTTTTTTCACCTTGTTGCAGGTTTGATGTTGCTTTGTTGGTTCCCCTGTCATCACCAGTTCTGGCATTGCAGCATGTCGTAATCCCTAAGCATCTGGAAAAACCATCAAAAAACAACGATTGTTCGTCATTTGAGGGTTAGTAAATTTTATCAAAGTATAGCTTTCTGGATATAGTAACAGTTTTAATGTGGCTAAGCCCCCCACCTCATAGAACGGAAGAATGTACTGGATGTAAGCTTTCCTTCCACCACGTTATAGAATTGATGATTTTAAATGTTGTTCAACTTGCATTTTGGAGAACATGGCAATTAACTGTTAAGTGTTAGGACTGGATTATCTAATTGATTGCAGCAGGTACCACAGATATAAAAAATCCTTTTCTTGTCCTTTGTAGTCAGGCCTCAAAGCCTTGGGGCAAACATAAAGCAGTCTTGCCATGGCATGTATGCCTCATAAGTCATGGTTCGAAGAGCTTATGAATGGTAATGGATATAATGTGCATACATGTTAAAAGGGTTGTATGTTATTTATTGAACCTCCTATATTAGCTAAGATTAAGAAGCACGGGCACTGACACAATATTTCTCAAAAAAGTAGGACATGAACACGTTGAGGACACACCATATATAATCGTGTTTTCTATATAAACCTATATAATTTATTCCAAATATAGTGATAATGATACATTATTCCTAAAAAAAATTAAGTATTTTATGATAGGTAAATGATATGTCTAATTATCTAGTGTGAATTTTTGGACCAAAGCATCATAATAGTCAATAATCATCAATTTGTTTTGTAGACAATGTGTACCTAACATATATACTTTAAATGATTGCTCTCATTTCTCAATTCTTTCTATTTCAAACTTTTATGTATCTTTTACATTTATTATTTTATTTTCAATACAACTTCAACGGGTCTAGTCTTGGCAATTATATATTCTCTCATAGTTTAAGATACTTATTAGACAAATTTTAAAACTTTGTTAATTACATGTCAACACATGTTTATTGTTTAGTAGTATACATGACCAAAAGAAGTGTCGGATGCCAAAAAACTGTCGAACATGTGTCTAAAATTAAAATTTTATATGGACATGGATATAAAAGTATCGGACACGTNTTTAAAACTTTGTTAATTACATGTCAACACATGTTTATTGTTTAGTAGTATACATGCCAAAAAACTGTCGAACATGTGTCTAAAATTAAAATTTTATATGGACATGGATATAAAAGTATCGGACACATGTCCGAAAGTGTCGGTGTCCAACACGGATATGTCACCTTCTTGAGAGTGTCCATGCTTCATAGTATATTAGAGTTGAGTTGGGAATTTGTATCTTGCATCTATTTTCTTTCCGGAAGTTGTCCTGCGTATATATTCACCTAAAGAAAAAAGGGGATTTCAACAAATCAGTTTTGTACTTTTATTAACTATCTAAATATCTTTTGTCTATCATATTCTAGTTGATATAAGCCACTAGAATTTTACAGAATTTTGGTTAAACATTGGCTCAAGTTGTAAGCATATTCTTCAGTCTTCTTTCTTAGTGGAGTGTCTATATTTGTTGCACAGTTGATAGCTGTCACCTGGAAGTCCAGTAACAAGAGTTTGGGGAGTTACTAGGGTGTTAACTTTTTTGTCTCTTTTTCCCAAATGTAGTTGTAGTGTGAAAGTATATAGAGCTTCACATTTTCGTAACTACATGTTTTTGCATTTTGGTTTTGCAATATCCTAAATTTTTGGAGCCCTTTTGTTTGATCTAATGTTATTCTGTATCTAGATTCCATTTTTTCCTGCAATTGTCTAGCCTCTTGCATGGGTTGATTATCGTTGTTTAAAAATATTTATGCCTGTTTTTGCAGATCAGATTCAGAATGGAAGTCTGTATCTTTTAATTAGCGGATGTACTGATGGAAGTATTGTCTTTTGGGATTTGACGGACAATGTTGAAAATTTTATGCATCAAGTGTTGGCTCTCCAAATGGAAAACTACATTGATTGTCAGAAAAGGCCACGAACAGGGAGAGGTAGCCAAGGTGGGAGATGGTGGCGATCATTGGGCAGCCATGTTTTGAAGAAAAAACCAGGTGAAGTTCTAGTCCCACTGAAAGCCACATTGGAAGCTGATGACAATATGCACATTCATGGTTCTTCATCAAACTTATCTCGTTCTCAAAAAAGTGCACCGCCCTGTTCTCAAGCTAGACCTCCTACTTCCCTTGGATCAGGAGCAAGCGCGGATGATTTGTCCTTGGAAATAAGTAAAGTCTGGCCATTGCATGTTTTGTATAATATTCACCAGTCTGGGGTCAATTGCCTCCATGTTTCAGTTATGAAGGACAGTAGAGTTTCTAAGTCTGGGTTTTTGTACTATGTTATGAGTGGGGGTGATGATCAAGCACTTCATTGTCTTAGATTTGATTTGGCACTACGGCCATCAAATTGGTACTCTCCAAATTTTACTTCAGAGATGCAGAGCATCACTGCATTAGAAAGTACGAAGAATTGCATGAGTCATTGTCAAAAGCAAAAATATGGAATCAGATTTTTGTCTCATGATAAAGTCATCTCAGCTCACAGCTCCGCCATCAAAGGTACAAACTGTTTGAATTGCTTCAAACTTTGTACTCTCTCATTTTATTTTCTGATTGATGAAAAAACCTGCATGTTTACTATTTTCTAGATGCATTCCATTGGCCAGGAAAAATATTTCGTGATTTCCAATTTATATGGAGACAATAACAAATTTTGTGTAGAAATGCTGAAGGTTTTCATGAAATTGTAGTATTCATAACTCGATATCTTTTTGATGTATGTTTTCAAACTATTGGTGGTGTGCAAGGACACACCTTTTTTCCTTCTTGAGGGGTCAAGGTTTCAAGTCTCCCTCCCCCCCCCAAAAAAAAAAAAAAAAAAAGGACACCTGAGGTTCTAATCTGGATCTTATTGAAAAAATCTTGAGAAATGTATTTATGATTTATGACAAGTGAGAACTAAACTAGGCTTTGATATTGTAAAGGTGTTTGGACGGATGGGAGTTGGGTGTTCTCTGCTGGTCTTGATCAGCGTGTCAGATGTTGGCATATTGAACAGCATGGTAAACTAACTGAGCATACTCATTTGGTCATTAGCGTGCCAGAACCGGAAGCGTTGGATGCTAGAGCCTGTGGCAGGTGAATGATATACTGCATAATTTTATACTCTTACTGTCCATGGCAGTCCCATTTGGTGAAAGAGCTATTCAGCCTTGGACAATCTTAATCCTGATAACTTTTATTCTTTTGTTTCTCTTTTCCTATTTTCTCTTTTTTTTTTCCTTTATCTGTTTTTTTTCTTGTCCAGGAACCATTATCAAATTGTAGTAGCTGGAAGAGGGATGCAAATAGTTGAGTTCTTTGGACCCGCTGGCATGGATGGCGAAGAATCAGGCAGCATTTGTTAATCTGTCCACTAATCTACCTTTTAACCTTCAGAAAAGTGGCAATGTATTATACCACCTGTGCTATTTGTGGTGGCTACGAAGATTGGATGCTTCTACAAGAGGTGTTTAAGTCGCCCCATTTCCCATACGTGTCAATACTTCTACAAAGTATCCATAATTTGAGTTTTGTGTAGAATGCTTCTTAGGCACTCCAGGGTTGAGGTGTGATTTTCTAGTATATCACTAGAATTTCATTGGAAAATTAGCTAGGATTTCAAAAAGTTGTATGATTGCTTGAAGAGAAAGAATTTGGATAGAATGAGGTTAAATCTTGCTGAATTTGATGCCAAGTCCTTGCCCATGCCGAGTCCTTATATTTCTCATGTTGGTTCAATAATCCAAAATATAGTATTTCCTAGTCATTAAAATCCAAGACATATCAAGACACTTTGTGTGTCGTATGAATGTATAATGACAAACTGATTTATATGTTATAAAAAGTACCATGTCCATGATATATATGTATCCAATATTTTTTAAATTGGCAGGTGTTTATGGAATGTCGTGTATTGATATCTTGCATTCATATTGATACTTCAAAACTTTTCAGTATTATCTTAATGAAATTAAGATCATGAGGTGAACAAAAAGCTTCAGATGTCATTCTTAGCAGAGACCTTATGCAAATAATGGACTGATTATGTGCAGGAACTCATCTGTATTATTCTTTTGGAAGTTAAATTGGTATGGTGTTTTTCATGTACAAAAAAAAAAAAAAAAATCTAATGGATGATCCTTCTTAGCAGAGACCGAAGATGCATTGATGGTTTTTCTCTCTTATTTTTCTATTTAGATGTTTTTTTTCTATCAAATCTGGCTTCCGTGGTAGTGCTAACAATTTTTTGTTTTCTTTGGAGTGATTGATCCAATTAATCGACCTTTTTGTTTTTGTAGGGTGCTCAGGGTGGGTGCTTGCATATACTGAAGAAGAAATGACCGATACCACTCGGGTAAAAGATTGGACTGGACTGCCAGTAGTTTGCTCGCCATCCGGTCTTACAGCTGCTCTCCCTATCTTTTATGTGCAACATCGTAAACTTAGTGGCACCAGCCTCTTTGTATACCATTGTTTTTTTTGTGTTGACATGAAAACCTCCAAGCCTACAGCTAAATTTATTTGTAATATTGACTTAATTTAATCCAATTTTTTTTTAATATTTGACTAGATGACTGAGAATTCTCACGTTGTTCTGACTTATGTGGTTTTATTGCCGTACGGTACGATTTACTGGTTTCACTTCCTGGGGTTGAAATTGGTGGTGTATGCCCAGGCAGCGTTTTTGTTCACATGACAAGATGGTCAGCAAGGTCTTTAGGGGTCCTTTCCCAGTTACGATGGCCTGCACGAAGAAACCAAGCATGGAGAACATGACAAGCCATCCATTCTTTGGATCATCGGCAAGTCTTGATGAATTGAAGCTGTTACCTGTGTACCTGCAACACCTAAACTTCAATAGCATCCATTAGTATAACTTGGATGACCGTGTGGCTAGAATGCTGTGAGCATTAAGAATCAAGCTAGGGTTGCCGAGGTAGTCAAAAGGTCACCCTCGCTGAAGATTTGAACACCGGCCATGAACCAGACTGCATCACCAAACTTGACTCCATTTGTTGGGACCAGCTCTGGGAATATGTCACAGAGCTCCATGAAAGTGTAGCATCATTACATAGAGCTTAGAATTCCTTTGTGTTGTTTTTGCCCCGGCAAGGCCCTGGGGGGAGGAGGTGGTGGAGTGGGTTCTGTGGTTTGGGGATTTAGACCGATAAGGGTCATTGTAAAAGCTTTTAAGGTGAAGTAGTCTATTCTATTCTACCCTTATGAAGATGGGATGATTTGGTTCTAGTTTTTGTATTCTTCATTTGTCAATTATTATTTGTGATGGAAGGAGGCGCTCTTGTTGAATTGGATAGCTTCGATTGCATGGAAGCAAGAAAACAAGTTGTGATGCCGCCTTTTCTTGTTGCATGAATCGATCTGATAATGGACTGATGCACGCAGCACCACGCAACACAACATAATTGTTAAGTCAACGACTGATGCACGCAGCACCACGCAACACAACATAATTGTTAAGAAGTTGACTTAGCTACTGCATTTCCTATTTAGTTGTTGTAATTTTTCTTTTTCTGTTATGTTTTTTATTTATTGACTTGTTCTACTGCATTTCAATCATCATTTCCATTTTTCTAGCTAAATTGTTAAACATGGAGGCATGTTCCATGGTTGAGCTGGAATATAGAATTTCTGTTTTTTTTTAGCTGTATTTAAGCACATTTGCAGTTAATAAAAAAATAGATTACACTGAAATATTCTTCTCTTTCTCTGTTAATTCTTAGTTTGCTCCAACAAACTGGTATCATAGCTCTCTTCTTAAGGGACTTGTGAGGAATTTGAGTGTATATCCACCAAAATGGAGACTTCGAGTGCAGAAACTCCTTTCAATGCCATTGCACCTCCTTTGTTCAATGGAGAAAATTATCAAGTTTGGGCAATAAGAATGGAGGCTTATCTGGATGCAAATGATCTTTGGGAGGCTGTTGAGGAAGACTACCAAGTGCTTCCACTACCCGACAATCCTACAGTGGCTCAAATGAAGAATTTCAAAGAAAGGAAGGCAAGGAAGTCCAGGGCAAAAAGCTGCTTGTTTGCTGCAGTTTCATCTTCAATTTTCACCAGAATCATGACCTTGAAAACAACCTTTGATATATGGAACTATCTCAAGAAGGAGTACGAGGGAAATGAGAAGATCAAAGGAATGCAAGTGCTGAATCTGGTTAGAGAATTTGAGATGCAGAAAATGAAGGAATCTGAAACTATTAAAGAGTATTCAGATAGACTTCTCAATATCGTAAACAAGGTACGATTATTTGGTTCTGAATTTTCTGATACAAGAATAGTTCAAAAAATTCTTGTTACTGTCCTTGAAAGATTTGAAGCTACCATCTCTTCTTTGGAAAATGCTAAGGATCTGTCAAGGATTGGCTTGGCAGAATTGATACATGCTTTGCAAGCTCAAGAACAGAGAAGTCTCATGAGAAGTGAAGGTTCTGTTGAAGGAGCATTGGCTGCAAAGGTGCAAACAAACCAAGGATGGAAAGGGAAATTCAAAGGAAACAAGAACGAAGGTTCAGATTCATCAAAGTCTGACTTTCCTCCTTGTAAGCACTGCAACAAAAAGGGTCATCCACCATCAAAATGCTGGAGGAGACCTGATGTGAAATGTGAGAAGTGCCAGAAAATGGGACATCATCAGAAAATATGCAAGAGCAACATTCAGAAGGTTGTAGCTTAAGTTGATCTTCAGCAGAAAAATGTTGTTCAAGTAGCTGATCATGAAGAGGAGCAACTATTTGTAGCTACCTGTCTTGCAGCAAGTCATTCAAGTGACAAGTGGCTCATTGACAGTGGTTGCACCAACCACATGACATTTGACAGGGATCTATTCAAGGAGCTGGATACGTCATTCATTTCCAAAGTGAAAATTGGTAATGGAGAATGTATCGCAGTGAAAGGGAAAGGCAAAATTGCAGTGGAAACTTCAAAAGGTACAAAGCTTATCCGAGAAGTGTTATTTGTACCTAACATTAACCAAAATTTGCTGAGTGTTGGCCAGCTTCTTGAAAATGGTTTTAAAGTGGTTTTTGAGGGCAATCATTGCTTAATCAAAAACTCAAAAGATGAAGATATGTTCAAAGTGAGAATGAAAGGGAAGAGTTTTGCACTAGATCCTCTACAGGCAAAGCAATCAGTCTACTCAGCAACAACAGTGAATGCAGAAGTGTGGCATAGAAGGCTGGGTCATTTTCATCATAGAGCAGTGGTGAATATGCAAAAGAATGAACTTGTTCAAGGTTTGCCTAATCTTGAAGTTGAACTGCCAGAATGCAAGGCTTGCCAATATGGAAAGCAATCAAGGTTTCCTTTCAAGAAAGCTACCTGGAGAGCATCAGAAAAACTTCAGTTGATTCATACTGATGTGGCTGGTCCACATAGAACTCTTTCACTTAATGGGAGTAAGTATTATCTGCTTTTCATTGATGATTCTAACAGAATGTGCTGGATATATTTTCTCAGGTTCAAATCAGAAGTGGCTAGTGTGTTCTGGAAATTCAAGAACTGGATTGAAACATAAAGTGGCTGCAAAATTTAGACGTTGAGGTCTGATAATGGGAAGGAGTACACGTCTGCAACTTTCAGTGAGTTCTGTGAAGAGGCTGGAATTGAACATCAACTCACTGCTCCATATACTCCTCAGCAAAATGGAGTCAGTGAACGTAAAAATCATACAGTGATGGAGATGGCCAGGTGCTTGCTTCATGAGAAGGAGTTGCCAAAAGAGTACTGGGCAGAGGCTGCTAACACTTCTGTGTTTCTGCTAAACAGACTTCCTACAAAGGCAGTTGATGGGAGGACACCTTTTGAGGCTTGGTATGGTTACAAACCTTCTTTAAAGAATTTAAAAGTGTTTGGCTGCTTGTGTTTCACTTATGTGCCTCAGATTAAAAGAGACAAGCTCGACATAAAAGTTGAAGCTGGAATCTTTGTGGGATACAGCTTAGTTTCAAAGGCTTATAGAGTTTTTCAACCTGATACAAAAAAAATTCTGATAAGCAGAGATGTGCATTTTATGGAAGATGCTAAATGGAATTGGAGAGGAGATCAGGCTGGTAAAATTCCAAGTCAAGATTCAAAGTTGCTAGAGCTGTCCGAATCTGATTTGGTTGATGATGAACCTATCAGAGGTACAAGATCACTTTCTAAAATCTATCAGAAGTGCAACATTGCAGTCCTGGAACCAGAAAATTTTCAGGAGGAAGAAAGAGATCCAAAATGGGTAGCTGCAATGAAGGAGGAGTTGAGCATGATTGAGAAAAATAAAACGTGGCAGCTGGTAAAAAGACCTAATGACAGAAAGGTGATTGGAGTGAAGTGGGTACTTAGAACAAAGCTGAATGGAGATGGTTCTATAAACAAGCATAAAACAAGGCTTGTTGTGAAAGGTTATGCTCAAATCCTTGGTGTTGATTTTTCTGACACATTTGCTCCTGTTGCCAGAATTGAAACAANAAAGGTGATTGGAGTGAAGTGGGTACTTAGAACAAAGCTGAATGGAGATGGCTCTATAAACAAGCATAAAACAAGGCTTGTTGTGAAAGGTTATGCTCAAATCCTTGGTGTTGATTTTTCTGACACATTTGCTCCTGTTGCCAGAATTGAAACAATCAGGTTGTTGCTAGCCATTGCTACTCAAAAGGGTTGGAAAGTGTACCAGTTAGATGTCAAGTCAGCATTTCTAAATGGTCTTCTTGATGAGGAGATCTACGTAGAACAACCTGAGGGATTTGTTGTGAAAGAGCAAGAAGAAGATGTGTATTTGCTCAAAAAAGCTCTATACGGCCTGAAGCAGGCACCAAGGGCCTGGTATAGCAGAATTGATGAGCATTTGATGCAGCTGGGATTCAAAAAAAGTCTCAATGAGGCTACCCTCTACATCAAAGGTGATGAGATCAATTTTGTTGTTGTTTCTCTGTATGTGGATGACTTACTTGTTACAGGAAACAACTTGGAACTTGTGAATAAATTCAAGAAAGATATGCAACAGACCTTTGAGATGACTGACTTGGGGGAAATGGCATATTTTCTTGGAATGGAGGTTCAACAAAAGGAGAAAGAGGTGTTCATTTGCCAAACCAAATATGCTAAAGAAATTCTGAAGAAATTCAGAATGGATGAGTGCAAGATTGCTACAACTCCTATGGGTAAAAATGAAAAGCTCAGCAAGGAAGATGTAGCGGAAAAGGTTGATGAAACTCTTTACAGAAGTCTAGTGGGTTGTTTGATGTATTTAACAGCCACAAGACCTGACATCTTACATTCTGTGAGTCTGCTATCTAGATTTACGAATTGTGCTACTGAAACTCATTTTTCTGCTGCTAAAAGAGTTCTAAGATATGTGAAAGGAACATTGAAGCATGGAATCAAGTTCTGTGCTAGTCAGATTCATGTTCTGCAGGGCTATTCTGATAGTGATCATGGTGGTTCTGATGATATGAAGAGTACTTCAGGTTATTGTTTTAATCTGGGGTCAGGAATGTTCTCTTGGTGTTGTAAAAAACAAGAAGTTGTTGCACAATCAACTGCGGAGGCAGAGTTTATTGCAGCTACAGCTGCTGCAAATCAAGCTTTATGGCTTAGAAAGGTGTTATTTGATCTAAACCTGAAGCAAAATGAAGGCACAGATGTGTTTGTGGATAATCAAGCAGCAATAGCTATCTCAAACAATCCCGTTTTTCATGGAAAAACGAAGCACTTTAATATCAAATTGTTTTTTCTTAGAGATGTGCAGAAAGAAGGTTCTGTTGTTCTGAAATATTGCAAAACTGATGACAATGTTGCAGACATCTTCACCAAACCTTTGGTAAGAAGCAAATTTGAGTTTTTAAGGGAAAAACTTGGAGTTTGCAGCATCAAAGCCAAGGAGGAGTGTTAAGAAGTTGACTTAGCTACTGCATTTCCTATTTAGTTGCTGTAATTTTTCTTTTTCTGTTATGTTTTTTATTTATTGACTTGTTCTACTGCATTTCAGTCATCATTTCCATTTTTCTAGCTAAATTGTTAAACATGGAGGCATGTTCCATGGTTGAGCTGGAATATAGGAATTTCTGTTTTTTTTAAGCTGTATTTAAGCATATTTGCAGTTAATAAAAAAATAGATTACACTGAAATATTCTTCTCTTTCTCTGTTAATTCTTAGTTTGCTCCAACAATAATCGATCAGGCTGGATGCACAGGGAAAAAAAAAACTAGTTGATTGGCCAAATCTAAAAGCAAAGTATTTCCGAAAGGAATGTACAGGAACAGAGGCCACAACTGCGTATAAGGTTGACATATGATTATCTTGTGGTTCTGTTTTGTCCCTGCTTGTTCGGTTTAAGTTCTGCCTGTTGGCCATGATCTCTCTGATGAGGGACCTGGTTTCTATCAATGTAGGGTCAATTTATTTATTTATTTAATTTTTTTGTTTTGCCCAAAACATTTACCGTCCGGCCCATGGTCAGTCACTCCTAGTGGTATTGTCAAAGTCGGTAATTTTAAAATCATTGCAAACTTTGTTTTGGTGTTGAAGATGTATCGCAATTATAAACCGAGGTGAGGTGACTTATCTTTTTGCAAAAGGTTTTGTAACGTCTGCTGCTAAACTTGTTTTTGTAAACATTGTTATGTAAATGTAAAGTTTCTATTTATTATGGAACGCACAAGAAAAATTAGAAGTGAGCTTCCTAAATTTAGAGTGGGGAAAAATCTTAGTCATTGGTGACTGACTGGCTTTTGTAAAAGTACATTTGGGCGATAATTGATTGAAAAATTAGCTCATTTAAAATAAAAAATCTAATGTTGTAGTCTAATTAAAGATTTGCAATGTTCATGCTATTTGAAAGAGCTTTTAACACGGAGTGGAGACTACACAATGTATACAAAGAGTAACTGATCTTTGGATAACATCATCTTAATTCAGGTTTAATTTTGCCATGGAACAGGGGTAAGGGAAGTGTAGCAGACAGTTTAGAAAAAGATTTACCTTTTATACATTCGGCTCGGCAGGTAAGTACTGACATTAAATTGAACAGCATATATAGCTAGTAAATTACTCTGTTTTTGCTCTTAATATTAAACTCATGAGGACAAAAGAAAATAACAAAACATACATGTGTGTGTGTGTGTGTGTGTGTGTGTGACCTTAGTCTAAAGGCGCAAATATGTGCAACCAAAAATTAGCAAGGAAAGTTTAACCTACAACATCAATTTCTACCAACACTAAATAATGAACACATATTTCAAGGCAATAAGCAAAAAATATGATAGGGCCTACAGGGATAGAAATCAAAGCAGGTGGGCAATGTGTCCAAAAGCTTTCAGACACAATATCATTTATAGTTAAAAAGAAGTTGCATTTTAGTATATATAATTGGATAGCCTAAAGCTTTTTCCATATGTCTTGGTATTGCTTTTGTACATAATATTTATAGTTGAACAGCAGCATTTAGCATGCCGCTAACAAAAAAATAAAAACATGCACTTTGATATATAATTGGAAGGCCTGCCTGGACCAATTGCTTTATACTCAGACAGTCAAGTACATATTTAATTGGCATATTATGCACTTTAATAATAAGGCATGTTAAAAAGCGGGCAGAAAAAAAATAAAAGGATCCCAATNGAAGTTGCATTTTAGTATATATAATTGGATAGCCTAAAGCTTTTTCCATATGTCTTTATACTCATGCCGCTAACAAAAAAATAAAAACATGCACTTTGATATATGGAGTGAAAGTGAAAGTGACTATATTTATTTATGTATCTGGAATCACAAGTTCGATTTTAAGAAAGAAAGAAAGAAATAGATGGATAGCCGAGCAGAGCCGAGGCATCCAAAACCAAGGTATGCACTTTGTTTAATAGAGCAAAAGGAATTTTTAAGCAGCAGATGAGATCACATTCACTGCTCAACATCATTTCATAAACCCACATACATTACTTTTAATAGTTTTGGTTTGGATTCTACCGAAGAAACCATTGGGGCTCAACTCAAGGCTTACAAATTTTCTTCAGAATTGCAAACTCTTAGAGCTAGGAGGAGGATCACCTTTGGTTGTACTACTAGTACTAGTGATGCCAACATATTACATAATCAACATGCTCTTCAACTGCCTGCCTTTAATATTTAACCAAAAATAATAATAAGGCATGTTAAAAAGCGGGCAGAAAAAAAATAAAAGGATCCCAGTGAGACAAATTAGAGATCACCAACCATTTGACAGGTAATACTAGATTATGCACCCATGAAAGGAGGAGAGCCGAAAAAGACTCTATAAATTTCCCTTACCTGATCAGTCCATAAACACTAGCACTCTACTTAAGCCGTGAACAACGAAATGTCAATGTCAATGTCACAGTCCACTGGGAGAGATCACGCAGAGTCCCTCCATATGGAATTGACNTGACAGGTAATACTAGATTATGCACCCATGAAAGGAGGAGAGCCGAAAAAGACTCTATAAATTTCCCTTAGCTGATCAGTCCATAAACACTAGCACTCTACTTAAGCCATGAACAACGAAATGTCAATGTCACAGTCCACTGGGAGAGATCACGCAGAGTCCCTCCATATGGAATTGACAGCCGACATTGGAGAGAGTTTCAGGTCGTCCTTTCATCTCCATGCATCAAGTTTTAGGAGTGCTTCGGATGCAAGGTCATCTAGACAAAATGAAGATGAAGTTGAATTACAGTGGGCTGCAATCGAGAGACTACCCACATACAAACGACTTAGATTATCATTGTTCGATCATACAAATTTACATGGCAGCAACAAAGAGGAAGGTAAGGCTGTGATTGACGTTACCAAACTTGGAGCCCTTGAACGACATGTTTTCATTGAGAAACTCCTGAATAAAATTGAAAAAGACAATCACCGCCTGTTTCAGAAAGTGAAAGAGAGAATGGACAGGTAAACATATCTTCTCTTTCCGTTCCTTGTTCCGTTATTCATGCACACATGACAGTAGCATATGCAACATGAGCATGAGCATGAATTACGGTGCAGACAAACACTAGGTATTACAGAAATACAACANGAAACTCCTGAATAAAATCGAAAAAGACAATCACCGCCTGTTTCAGAAAGTGAAAGAGAGAATGGACAGGTAAACATATCTTCTCTTTCCGTTCCTTTTTCCGTTATTCATGCACACATGACAGTAGCATATGCAATGATCTGAAATCTAAAAAGTTATGCATGAGCATGAGCATGAATTACGGTGCAGACAAACACTAGGTATTACAGAAATACAACATCTTAATAATGAAGCAGTAGCCCAATGAGTTGGTCTTTTTTCCTTTTTTAACGGAAGCCTAATGAATTGGTTGGAAACCAAGAAACTAAATTCTTTTCCAACATATCAATATAATTCAAAGCAAATTTCAATTCTTCATATCATATAGAATGGCATGCCATATTGAACTAAAAGCATGTGAGTTTTTTTCCCTTCNGAGCATGAATTACGGTGCAGACAAACACTAGGTATTACAGAAATACAACATCTTAATAATGAAGCAGTAGCCCAATGAGTTGGTCTTTTTTCCTTTTTTAACGGAAGCCTAATGAATTGGTTGGAAACCAAGAAACTAAATTCTTTTCCAACATATCAATATAATTCAAAGAAAATTTCAATTCTTCATATCATATAGAATGGCATGCCATATAGAACTAAAAGCATGTGAGTTTTTTTCCCTCCTCCAACGATGCACTTGAGTCTCATCAAAACAGTGGAGCGATCCCAGACATTCCAAAAAATGATATAAAGAAATGAATGACAAGGGCATGGCGCATGCAACAATACTAAATCTAGTGTCTTATAGCTAAACATTATCCAAGCTAGAGGAATCTGGAGAATTGCTTGTGGAATTGTGATGAGTGGGCATTAGCCTGTAAAATGTATTCTACCACATGTCTATACCGCCATATACCTGCATGCGATATTTACAGTCACAGAATACGAATCCCGAACTTGGAACCAGGCTGGTTCTATGAAAAAATCATATAATCTTTGATATAACTATTTTTCACAATAAAGAAATCATAAGATGAGACCTTTTCTGTACATCTACGCCAATGTCATAGAGTATGTAGGCATGCATGCTATTATGCAATTGGAAATATGTATTAAGACTGGATGGAATTGGCTTTTGCTTTTTAGGGTGGGTCTGGAACTGCCTACTGTGGAAGTAAGATACCACAATTTAACTATAGAAGCAGAATGTGAAGTAGTTCAAGGGAAGCCCCTTCCTACTCTTTGGAACACCCTCAAAAGCTTTTCATGCGTAAGTGCTTTTCCTTATCCTTTCTCTCCATCTTTTTATTTGAAAGTGATAAGAATCAAACCCATGAATCCCTTTCAACCACTCACCCTCCCCACCCCCCCAAAAAAAAAAAAATTCCTCCCAAAAAAGAACACCAAATGGTTGCATACTAGCCCTTTACCACTTCGATATAATGGCTTTGGCCATCTCCTTTCTTAAGTTTTTATTAATGGGTAGTGATTTGATAGGTTCTATGGAAAAGAGGATCTGGAAATCTTTCTATGCAACCCTTCACTATTTTTTCTTTAGACAACAAGAAAATTGTACGTCGACTATAGAATCATACAACAAAAGCATTAAGTGTTGCATGTTGGAAAAAGTATTTCAATATATGAATTCATAAATCCCAAAACCTACTGTATATTTCCAAAGCCTTTGTAGCTCAATTGATGAAGGGATAGGCCTCATGTATGGCAACTTAAGAGAGGAAAAGCATCAGGAGCTCAACACTCATCGTTGGCAAAACCAAAAATAAGCTACAACATAATGGTGATACCCCACCACACACAGTTTTGTCGTTCGCAGAATTCTTCTTATAAATTGATTTTTGTTCCACCAGTTTTTTAGCAGATTTTAATCCTTTATGACAAATTAACAAAAAGAGGAAATTTAATTTTATAAGAGGAATGCATCGTAGTTTTCTTTATGGTATAGCAGATTTGTATGACCAAATGTGATTTTTTTTTTTTTTTTTTAATTTCAAGATGCTTTTACCTCTTTTTCTTATCAGTTGAGTCCACTTGTGCAAAGCAGCCTATCTGAGCTAATCATTGGAAACTAAAGGTGGTTTATAATTTTAAACAGGCTATCACAAATGTTTTTGGGCAAAATTCTCATGCAAACAAGATTGAAATCCTGCAAGGTGTCCACGGCATCATCAAGCCTTCAAGGTTAATCCTATAGTTCTGCTTCATGTATCATTAAATACTGCAAAAGAAGTTACATGCTATATGTTTTTTTTTTATTTCTTTTCTGTTGAACACAGGAGCAAATGCTTTTATCATACAAGATCTACTTACATAAATTTTTTTGCCAGGATGACACTACTACNTCAAGGTTAATCCTATAGTTCTGCTTCATGTATCATTAAATACTGCAAAAGAAGTTTCATGCTATATGTTTTTTTTTTATTTCTTTTCTGTTGAACACAGGAGCAAATGCTTTTATAATACAAGATCTACTTACATAAATTTTTTTGCCAGGATGACACTACTACTCGGGCCTCCAGGCTGTGGGAAAACCACTTTATTACGAGCACTCGCTGGGAAACTTGACCAATCTCTCAAGGTTTTCAGCTCTTTATACATCATTCCATGCCAAAAAAGATGGAATATGTCTTCTTCATAAGCTAGTATTATAAAAGAGAAATATTACACAAAGTGTATAATTATATAAAGAGTTCATAAACTTTAAAGATGATGTACTGATTTACATTGGGACAATTTGAAGGTGTACTTTCCAACCAGTCACATAGCAACTTAAGTCAAGTGTTCTTGCAAAATTTTCACTTGTAGGTCTTAGGAGACATCTCCTACAACGGTTACAAGCTGAATGAGTTTGTTCCTCAAAAGACATCAGCCTATATTAGCCAACATGATCTTCACATTTCCGAAATGACTGTAAGAGAAACACTCGACTTCTCAGCACGTTGTCAGGGAATCGGAAGTAGAGCAGGCAGTATTTATTCCAAATATCAGATTCACGATCATACTATTCTAGCCTCAGGCTGATCAGGCGCTCATTTGTTTACTGTTGAAGAAATCATGATGGAAATCAGTAGAAGAGAGAAGCAAGCAGAAATTATCCCAGATCCAGACATAGACACATACATGAAGGTAAATAATCTGCAAAAAGCAATTCAGCCCAACTCTCACCCTTGTCATGTTCAAAAAGTACTGGCTGTTTGATTATTTTTCCTGCTGACTATCTTTCACGGAAAACTGTGTTAACAGGCAATTTCCATTGAAGGATCAAAAAGAAATCTCCAGACAGACTATATTCTTAAGGTAATTCTCTTCAACATAGTACCGAATCATTAGCCACCCTCCTATTCGTAGTTTCCTAAAAAAACTTTTCTTGTACTCTTTAATCTCTCTTTTCAGATTCTTGGACTAGATATTTGTGCAGATACTATTGTGGGAGATGCAATGAGAAGAGGAATATCAGGAGGTCAAAAGAGAAGGCTAACAACTGGTTGGTAAACAGGCACTAACAGTCCATAATTTTCTCTTTGGTGTTTTGCTGTTAATTTTGTTCATGAAACACCCAATATATTTGTTTGGTAATTCATGCATATTATGAGAAATCCATCACAATGGTTTTCCTTGATGTTCTCATTTACTAGGGGAAATGATAATTGGACCCGCAAAAGTTCTCCTAATGGATGAAATATCAAATGGCTTAGATAGTTCAACCACCTTCCAGATTGTTACTTGTCTGCAGACGTGGGCACACATCACAGAATCCACCATTTTTGTGTCACTTCTTCAGCCATCACCTGAGATGTATGATCTCTTTGATGACATTATCTTAATGGCTAAGGGGAAAACTGTATACCATGGACCTCGAGATAAAGTTTTGGAGTTTTTTGAGGATTGTGGTTTCAGGTGTCCACCAAGAAAAGGCATTGCCGACTTTCTTCAAGAAGTATGTGTCCCTGACTACTATATCTAACGGTAACCTGTCCAAACTAGTTGCTTCGTCATGATCTCACCTGACCTGAAGGATTCTACATTTTCACAGGTAGTTTCTGAAAAGGATCAAGCACAGTATTGGTATCATGAAGACCAACAACCTCACAGTTATGTTTCTGTTGAAGAGTTTGGAAAAATGTTCAAGGAATTTCATGTGGGTCAAAAGTTAGATGAAGAGCTCTCTCAGCCTTTTAGTAAAACTGAGTTGCACAAAAATGCTTTGTCATTTACAATGTACTCTCATGGAAAATGGGAGCTACTTAAAGCATGCATGACTAGAGAATGGCTTCTTATGAAGCGTAACTCATTTGTCCATATATTCAAATCTGCACAGGTAATGGAAGACTTGTTAGCCTCTAGAGTATCATGAGAATGGTTATTATCTAATGTCCGAACAAATTAACATGCGTTTTGGCTGTCTGATGTTCTGTTCATGCAGCTGGTAGTCACAGCCCTAATAGCAATGACAGTCTTTATACGAACACATGTGAGTATTGACATCACCCACGCAAATTTATACATGGGTTCTCTATTTTTTGCGCTCATTAGACTTATGGTCAATGGAATAGCAGAGTTGTCATTGACTGTTTCCAGAATTGCAGTCTTCTACAAGCAAAGAGATGTCTACTTTTACCCTGCGTGGACTTATTCCATTCCAGCAGCAATCCTAAAAATTCCATTTTCATTTCTGGATGCTTTTCTTTTTACAGCCCTCACCTATTATGTAATTGGGTACAGTCCTGAACCAGAAAGGTAGGTGTGATTTCTGAAACAAACTAGCCTAGTATGAGAAAACAGAATGTATTCCTCCTCCCAATCAATAAGCAATGAAACTACTTTTCACTGCAGGTTTTTTGGCCAATTTCTCATCCTATTCCTTCTACATCAAGTATCTATATCATTGTTCCGTTTAACTGCGTCTGTGTTCCAGAATCCATCGGTTGCAGCATCTTGCGGGCTCTTCTGCTTGTTAGTGATGTTTTTATTTGGTGGTTTCACAATTCCACAACGTAAGACCATATATGAAGACCTTTTTATGAAAACATGTACACACTACTGCCAACAAATAACTAATAATCCTCACCTCATTACAGCTACTTTGCCTGTTTGGTTGAAATGGGGCTGTTGGCTTTCTCCATTAACGTATGCAGAGATCGGTGCTTCAGTAAATGAATTCCTTGCTCCAAGTTGGCAAAAGGTTAGAGCAAGTATACGTATAGCATTTAATTTGTTGCATTAATGCAAAAATAGGAAAACTTGCATTTGAGGGATCAAATTCTCATTCATAGTTTCCTTTACAGGTCTTGTCTTCAAATGCTACAATAGGGCAACAGGTTCTAGCACAACGGGGACTAAACTACAGCAGCTACTTTTACTGGATATCAATTGGAGCATTAATTGGATTTTGGTTTGCTTACAACCTTGGATTCACCTTTGCTCTGGGTTATTTAAAGCGTAAGTTCCTCTCTTCATGGATATGTAGAGCATATCAATTATTTAATTTCATATTATATTTACTAGATCGATCTCTTAAGATACTAACCTGTATTCAATGGAAAAAAATAACGTGTCCAGCTCCAGGAAGATCTCGGGCTATTGTTTCTCCTAAAAGGCTCTCGGACCATAGTGATAGTGTTGAAAAAAACATGGGCAACATACGTCAAGAAAATGAAATGCCTCATATTATTTCTTCCAAACCTCCTGTGGAAGCAAAAAAAGTAGGTAAGATATACCAGATCCAAAAGAATATTACTGAAAGCCCAGTTATATTTGACTTTGGCTTGCTAGAATTGAAAAGGTTGTTAAATAACAAATAACATCAAGGAGCATGAACCACTATTAGGTATTGCAACACTAAAAGAGTCTTAATCAATTCTGCAGGGACTGTTTTACCTTTCGAGCCAATGACAGTAACATTTGAGAGTGTGCAATATTTTGTTGATACTCCGAAGGTAATTGCATCATTCATTCTAACTAGTTCCACAGTTGTTAAACATGACTTATACTGATAAAATGTCTTCCATATATCTTCCAGAAAATGAGAGAACAAGGCTTTGAACAAAAAAAAATACAGCTTCTTCAAGATATTACTGGAGCATTTAGGCCTGGAGTTCTTACAGCTTTAATGGGTGTTAGTGGAGCTGGAAAGACAACACTAATGGATGTTCTTTCTGGACGAAAAACTGGTGGTGTCATTGAAGGAGATATAAGAATTGGAGGTTACCCAAAGGTCCAGCATACATATGCCAGAATATCTGGTTACTGTGAGCAAAATGACATGCATTCTCCACAAATTACAATAGAAGAGTCAGTGATGTACTCTGCATGGTTACGTTTGCCATCTCAGATTGATCGAAGTACAAAATCTGTAAGATGTCTGTCTTCCTACTCGATAACAACACTGTAAGAGACGAGACCAATTTAGAGTAGCAAAAAATTTATGCTAAAGGGGCAAAAAAGGTCTGAAATATCAATTTCTTTTATATATGGTAATATAGTAATGACCAAACTGAACTGAACCAAACCAAAAAAAGCCTTTGTTCAAATTATTTGGGATCGACTACATACATTTCCACTATGGTTCTCTTTCAATGGCTAACTTATGCTCTACTAAATTACAAGCTACCCAACCCTGCCATTCTTAATAGCCTCACTCCAAGTTAATTTTTTTGGTATTTCCCTTTCCCTAGTACTTCCATTAATATTAGTCATGTCACTTTTCCTCACTAAGACACTTATTGATCTCTGTTGGACATGCTCAAACCATTTGAGTTGACTACTCTCATTTCTAGACATTTTGTTTCTTAGTTGGCCAACATCTTATACCATAAAACATTGCCTTTGCGACATCCATAAAATGTACCTTCAGTTTCTTGTTATCATTGATCAAAACTATGCTAAAACCATTTCTCCACTTATAAGCATTCTAGGAAGACTAGATAAAATATCTCTACAACAAAAATCATTTAGCATTTCTCTTGTCTAGTTTTTCTCTGCTAGATGATTTTTCTTTTTTACAATATTCTCCAATAACTATCCAACTTTATTTAATTTCCGCATAATTCACAAAATATCACTGGACATGACCAACATAAAGTAAGCTTTTTCTCTGTTATGGCCACAAGGAAATATGGCAATAAGACCTTACTCTAAAAGCCTATAATACTGATGAATAGAGAAAGTAAAACAAAATATTATTCTATGCTTTTCAGTATGCTCCATTATGTATAAAATGATTCAAAGACTGTGCATGTAACAGGAATTTGTTGCAGAAGTTCTTCAAATGATTGAACTCGACATTAATAAAGATGCTTTAGTTGGCTTTCCTGGTGTTGGTGGTATATCTACTGAGCAGCGTAAACGGCTAACTACTGCAGTAGAGCTTGTTTCGAATCCATCCATTATATTCATGGATGAACCCACTACTGGCTTAGATGCCAGAGCAGCTGCAATTGTTATGCGAGCAGTGAAGAACATTGTAAATACAAAAAGGACAGTTGTGTGCACCATTCACCAGCCAAACATTGGCATTTTTGATGCATTTGATGAGGTAATTCACTAGCTCAAATTGATACATGATGTTGGAGATATAGCAGCAGCCTAGTTTATTAGGGTCTTATTAAATTTNAAGACCCAAAATTTAAAAAGGTCATTGGATGTATAACATCAATGGCAGGGACTTGGAATGCCCAGATGCATACGCATGACATTGCATGTGTTTTGGGAGCCAATAAAAGCTCGATTGAGTTACATGTGTAAGTCTCATTTCATAATATGGTATAGCATAGAGGATCCATTATGAATTGCATATTCTTACTGTTGGAGATATAGCAGCAGTCTAGTTTATTAGGGTCTCATTAAGTTTTCCTTTTTTACCTTTTTGTCCTTATGGTAACTCTCATTGACTATATATACGGGGGCTCTACACTTAGTTTGTATCCCTTTTTACTCACATTAATTCCAAGTTGGTATCAGAGCCACAACCCTAACCGTNTCTCATTGACTATATATACGGGGCTCTACACTTAGTTTGTATCCCTTTTTACTCACATTAATTCTAAGTTGGTATCAGAGCCACAACCCTAACCGTAACCCTACCCTAGCCCCTCCTCCACGTTGCAGCCACCAGCCACCACACTGCCGCCGACTGCCCAAACCACCGACAACAAACACAACAAACATCAAACCCAGCGACAGCCTGCAACAAACCCACTGCCCGTATTCCAACAACAAACCCACTGCCTCACAGTCCTAGAAGCTACCAACTACCTACCAGCAACACAACCACCGACAGCCACCGATTGCCCTTACACAACCACCGACTGGAGAGAATTGGGAAGAGGTGTTGTCCACTCCATTGGCCTACCAGCGAACAACACCAGAGAATTGGGAAGAGGTGTTGTCCACTCCATTGGCCTACCAGCGAACAACACCTGGTATCATCCAGCAAAACCCCTGCCGCTAGCCACCGAACAACCGAAACATATAGAGGACTGCTTCATCCCAGTTCCACCGACTTCACAAACTCACTGCCCAAACCCAACTAAGCAGCCCCATCGACAGACAATACCCATTCCAGACCAGCCGACTGCCCAAGACAATACCCACCAAGACCAACTGCCTACCCAGCCAAAAAACACGTACTCCTATATACCGAGCAAACATTAAACTCTACACCCAGCAAAACACACCAAATAGCCCATTGTCCAGTCCAGCCCAAACTCCAACTGCGAACCAGCTGGGTCTCGCTCTTCGTCATAGTTTCGTGTTTTGTCTTTGTGTGCCNTGCTTACCCAGCCAAAAAACACGTACTCCTATATACCGACTTAACATTAAACTCTACCGAGCAAACATTAAACATTAAACTCTTTGTGTGTCTGATTATTTGGGACCGTAGAACCTTTTAAGAAGGGTTGAATTCTCTTCTCAGTTGATATGCTCTTGATGCAGTAGATCACTTATTTATATTTATTGGACTTCTAGGCATCGTGACCTGATTATTTGGGAGCTTTCTGGACCTTCTTTATTTGTCGCTATTGTTCTCCTGGAGGTATATTGTTCTCCCTTATTTTATTCCTCTATTTATCTTAGAGTTGTTTTTCTGTCACGGGTGTTCTAGTATTATTGTTGATATGGCTACTACTAAGGGACTTGAGAACCCTACTGTTGACACCTCTATCGTTGAGACATCTATGGGTACTTCTACTTTTATGTTTGACCAGTATACAGTACCTACTAGCACAGTTGCATTACCAGCACTACCGGGCATGATCTCTCAAAAAGTTACGGCACAGTTGTTGAATGGTCGTAACTTTGCTGAGTGGTCTCGCTCATTCCAGCTTTTCTTAGGCCGTGTAGGGAAGCTTGGTTGGCTGACGGGATCTCACCCAAAGCCAGCTGATGCCGACCCTGGATATTCTGCGTGGTTCTCTGAAAACTGTGTCATTCTTGGATGGTTATTTGGCTCAATGGAGCCCTCTGTTTGCAGGATCCACCAGTTTCATAGCTCTGTTCCGAAGCTATGGAGCGCATTATCAGAGATGTATTCTCAGTCAGGACGGGGAGTTCGTGTTTATGAGCTTTCTCAGGAGCTCTCATATGCTCGGCAGGGAGATATGACCGTTCAGGATTATTATGGCTATTTGACCCAGCGCTGGCTTGAGTATGAGTCTCTACGTCCTCTTGCTGCTATTCCGAAGATAGAGCCCGAGGGAGCAGCATTCTTGCATACTCGAGAGCAGGAGGATAGGATTCACAAGTTCCTTATGGGGCTTCGTGATGAGTTTGAGGGACCTCGTTCTCAGATCTTGTCGATGTTGACACTTCCTTCTCTTTATGAGGTGTATGGGATGATTGAGCAGCATGAGCGTCGAGTCCGTATTGCATCACTTCCAGTTGCGGCTTTGAATCCTTCGGCTGACCAGATGGCCCTTGCAGTTGTTGCAGGGTCTCATTCAGGATCCTCAGTCAGGGGTGGGNGCATTACCAGCACTACCGGGCATGATCTCTCAAAAAGTTACGGCACAGTTGTTGAACGGTCGTAACTTTGCTGAGTGGTCTCGCTCATTCCAGCTTTTCTTAGGCAGTGTAGGGAAGCTTGGTTGGCTGACGGGATCTCACCCAAAGCCAGCTGATGCCAACCTTNAGTTGTTGCAGGGTCTCATTCAGGATCCTCAGTCAGGGGTGGGCAACGCTCGGATCAGCGCCGTCAAGGTGCCTCAGATCAGTGCAGACAGGGGAATTCCCGTCACTGTGATTATTGTGGCCNAGCTAATGCTGACCCTGGATATTCTGCGTGGTTCTCTGAGAACTGCGCCATTCTTGGATGGTTATTTGGCTCGATGGAGCCATCTGTTTGCAAGATCCACCAGTTTCATAGCTCTGTTCTGAACCTATGGAGCGCACTATCAGAGATGTATTCTCAGTCTGGACGGGGAGTTCGTGTTTATGAGCTTTCTCAGGAGCTCTCATATGCTCGGCAGGGAGATATGACCGTTCAGGATTATTATGACTATTTGACCCAGCGCTGGCTTGAGTATGAGACTCTACGTCCTCTTGCTGCTATTCCGAAGATAGAACCCGAGAGAGCAGCATTCTTGCATACTCGAGAGCAGGAGGATAGGATTCACAAGTTCCTTATGGGGCTTCGTGATGAGTTTAAGGGACCTCGTTCTCAGATTTTGTCGATATTGACACTTCCTTCTCTTTATGAGGTGTATGGGATGATTAAGCAGCATGAGCGTCGAGTCCGTATTGCATCACTTCCAGTTGCGGCTTTGAATCCTTCGGCTGACCAGATGGCCCTTGCAGTTGTTGCAGGGTCTCATTCAGGATCCTCAGTCAGGGGTGGGCAACGCTCGGATCAGCGCCGTCAAGGTGCCTCAGATCAGTGCAGACAGGGGAATTCCCGTCACTGTGATTATTGTGGCCAATCAGGACATCTCAGGGCTACTTGCTGGAAGCTCCATCCAGAGTTTAAGCTGCCTCCTCGCAGTCGTACTGTTGTTGTTGCTGAGATACCACCACCCACTACCGCTACTCTTGCTGCTGCTGCTGCTGCTCCACCTTGGCAGAATGATATGGATGCTATCACTTCCCGATTAGATATACTTATGTCTGCTCTGACTTCTCAAAGTCTGACTACTGCTGTTGTCACCACTACAGGTATACCTCGTGTCTTTCACGCTTGTGCTAGTTCATCTTCCCTTTGGATGTTGGACTCGGNCTACTCTTGCTGCTGCTGCTGCTGCTCCACCTTGGCAGAATGATATGGATGCTATCACTTCCCGATTAGATATACTTATGTCTGCTCTGACTTCTCAGAGTCTGACTACTGCTGTTGTCACCACTACAGGTATACCTCGTGCCTTTCACGCTTGTGCTAGTTCATCTTCCCTTTGGATGTTAGACTCGGGTGCGAATGGTCCCNATTCAGGATCCTCAGTCAGGGGTGGGCAACGCTCGGATCAGCGCCGTCAAGGTGCCTCAGATCAGTGCAGACAGGGGAATTCCCGTCACTGTGATTATTGTGGCCAATCAGGACATCTCAGGGCTACTTGCTGGAAGCTCCATCCAGAGTTTAAGCTGCTTCCTCGCAGTCGTACTGTTGTTGTTGCTGAGATACCACCACCCACTACCGCTACTCTTNACAAATGATTAAGACACAATTCGATATCATTGTTCGTGCTCTTCATTCGGAGAATGTCAAAGAATATGTGTCTGATGCCTTAGTGTCTCACCTTTCTTCTCAAGGTATTCTTTAGCAACTCACTTGTTCATATATTCCTGAGCAAAATGGTGTTGCTGAAAGGAAAAATAGGAGTGTNAAGATGGACTGTATTATCTTGGCAATCCACCTCCAGTTTCACCAATTCCTCCACCTACATTACCTGCACCTGCTTTGTCTTTTTCTATTCCTAGCTTACATGCTAGTATTTTATCTAGTAGTTGTCGTTATAATTTTTCGTCACAAACTGTTCAGTTGTGGCATGACCGTTTTGGACATACAAATTTTAAATATTTATGTATGTTGTTTCC